ATGTATGCTTGGCATGTATATGCACACACAAGTACCATGCACACATTCACACACAATAGTAGTCAATAGTGAAAATTACTTGGTGGGGGAGGGGTTAGGGAGATTTGAGACAGGGTTTCTCTGTGTGGCCTTGGCTATCCTGGTCTCACTTTGTAGACCAGGCTGTCCTGGAACTCACAGAAATCTGCCTGCCTCTGTCTCCCAAGTGCTGGAATTACAGTCGTGTGCCACCACACCTGGCCAGTAAAAATAAGTTTAAAAAAGAAAGAAGAGGTGCTTGGGTAGATAGGTGTAGGTGGCTGGTGCTAACCAGAAAACTGGCCTCCTCCATTTCAGATTGTCACAGCCATGGCCATTGCGGGAACCCTTAAGTTCAACCCGGAAACTGACTTCTTGACAGGCAAAGATGGCAAGAAGTTCAAGCTGGAGGCTCCAGATGCAGACGAGCTTCCCCGACTGGTGAGCAGATGCTGCTGTTCTGTGTCGCTGACTACCACATCTGCCTTGGCCTATTTGTCTAGGCTCATGTGAAGTGGGGTGACACTTGAGGTTTGGGACACAGGGAAGCTTGTGAACTACAAGACATCCATGTGAGGATGAAGGATTCAGTGCCCAGTGTGACTCCATCCTTTCTGTAGGAGTTTGACCGGGGGCAGGACACCTACCAGCACCCGCCCACGGACAGCAGTGCGCAGCGGGTGGACGTGAGCCCTACCAGCCAGCGCCTGCAGCTCCTGGAGCCTTTTGACAAGTGGGACGGCAAAGACCTAGAAGACATGCAAATCCTTATCAAGGTGGGTACAGGCACTTGATCCCCAAGCATCGGACATGGCTAGGGAACGCTTGGGAACGGAAAGGAGGCTGGCTGCAAGGGCATGATCACCGCAACTTAGAGGCTACTCCATGGCCCTGGGCTGGGCAGAGGCTGATCAAGCGAGCTACTGTCAGGCCTCAGGCATCTGGTGTGAGTGCATCACACAGACTCAGCTCAGCTCTGGACTGACAATGGACTCCCACAGCATTCCTGTTACTGGGCCATTACTAGATGGGGACTGTTTAGGAGCTTGGCCTTTCTAGTGTGGTCAAGGGCCTCAGACTCATGTCAGACAATAATTTATGGGCTTACTAAGCAGTGTCCAGGCATGCCTGTGACAGCTAGTATTTAGCTCATGTGAGCCAGGACCCAGACATGACTCCTCGCTTCTGAGTCTGGCGTTGAGTCGCTCATCTTCTACCCTTCACAGCTTAGCTGAATAAGCAGACAGCTGCAGCTGTCCTCCATAGCTAGCCTATTCCATGAGAAGAGTATCCTGTCATGGACACAGCATAACTGGGCCTTTTGAGGTGGGTGATGCCCTTGGCTGAACCAGGTGGCACAGGAACACAAGGACTCCACAGACTAGAGGTCCAAGGCCAGACATAGACCTCCTTCTCCTCCTTGTTCTGGTCACTGCTGTCTGTCTCTGGAAGGCTTTTTCCTTCATCCATTTCTCACTGGCCCAACCTGGCCTGTCCTCTCTATTCACCCATCCAAGGTCAAAGGAAAGTGCACCACAGACCATATTTCTGCTGCTGGCCCCTGGCTCAAGTTCCGTGGGCATCTGGATAACATCTCTAATAACCTGCTCATCGGTGCCATCAACATCGAAAATGGCAAGGCCAACTCTGTGCGCAATGCTGTCACCCAGGAATTTGGCCCTGTCCCTGACACTGCTCGCTACTACAAGGTATGCCAGCATTTGTTTGGTGGAAACAGTGAGACAGCAGCTCTCCTGAGGGCTGGGGGTGAGGGCACACATGAGAAAAAAAACTAGAGGAGGCATGCCCAGAGAAGACTGCTATCTCAGCATCCAGAACCCTGCCCAGAGTCAGAGGTGAGCCACAGCAGATGTTTGCCCCAGACATAAGGAGGCTGGAGGAAACCTTATAGAACTTTAGAAATTCAGATGGAAAGTGAAGCTCAGAGCTACAAGCGCTCTCAGGCAAACCAAGCATTGACAGATTACACCTAAGCCTGTGCCAGGCTTGTCCTCGAACTCGGTGATCCCCCAGCCTCTGCCTCCTGAAGTGCTCGGATTAAGTGAGCCTGGGCAGTGGTGGCATACTCCTTCTAGGTGTTTTGTTCTTTTAACTACTACTTGTTTGTATGGGTTTTGCTTGTATGTATGTTTGTGTACTACCTGCATGTCTAGTGACCACAGGCCAGAAGGTGATGTCATCGCATCCCCTTAGACTTATGTATGGTTGTGAGCATCATGTGGGTACTGAGAATAAAACCTGGTTCCCCTCGAAGAGCCACAGTGTTCTTTACTGTGGAGCCATTTCTCCATTCCTGGTGCCACTTCTTGAAAGGTTCCAGGGCTGATGTAGAACCTGGTGAGGACCATCGGACACCTCTTGGTGGCTGACTGGGACAGTGCAGATGCACAAAGGACCATGCCGTCCCTTAAAGCCCATTAGCACTGACTGCACAACTAAAGAGTCCTTGTGCCATGGAGGACCCGGTGCGGCTCCTACTCCCACTGTGCAGCCACTGCCTTGCCCCCAAACTAGGGCTTACATGCATCCTGCCTCTACACTGCTCCACAAAGGGTGGCTACTTCCTTGTCCCTGCATATAGTCAGGCAGAGCCAGCATCCGTTGCCTGCTCCCTTGGGGCCTTATTTGGTCCATTCAGCTGCTCATGGGCAGCAGGAAAGGAATAGCCTCTCCGCATTTACTGTGACCCCCAGCCTACCCAAAGTTAGGCATGTACAGGCAGCACCCTTCTCTGTCTCACCACGTTGTTCCTGTTGCCTGACAGGAACATGGCATCAGGTGGGTGGTGATTGGCGACGAGAACTATGGTGAAGGCTCAAGCCGAGAACATGCAGCACTGGAGCCCCGCCACCTTGGGGGCCGGGCCATTATCACCAAGAGCTTCGCCAGGATCCATGGTGAGCTAGAAGCATCCCCATTGAGGAGTGCTGCTCCTTTAGTCAAGGCCCTAGGTCACCTACTGTGCCAGTGGCTGACTTGGGCTCCGACTCCATCCTCCCATATAGCTTGTCACACCTACACAAGGCCAACTTGGCATTGCCCAACACTGGGGTGGGTTCTTAGTTGGTTGGTTGAAATCCAAGGCATGTACATCTGCGCTAATGCAAACCTGCTTGCATTGCTACTGAAGAAAGGGTCACTGAGACCCAGCGGACTTGGGTGCTGTACCCAGTGCATGCTTACCCCCAAGTAGGACTTGGGTGGGGTCCGTCTCATATCCCTCAACTGCTTTAGAGAAGGGCCCCCGGCCAGAGGAGCCACACTGTAACTGCATGGTTGTCTTCCAGAAACCAACCTAAAGAAGCAGGGCTTGCTGCCCCTCACCTTTGCTGACCCTGCTGACTACAACAAGATCCATCCAGTGGACAAGCTGAGCATTCAAGGCCTGAAGGACTTTGCTCCTGGCAAGGTCAGAGGGCAGGGAAGGAGGGATTTCTTAGGTGGGTGGGTGCTTTCCAGCTGGAAGAGCCAAGTCCTTCCCAGCTGAGGGAGAACCAACCCAGGCATTAGCCCTGGCCTGGCACTTGCTGTCCAACAGCTTGCCCCCAGTGAAGACTGTGTTCCTAGGAGCACTTCCTACCCATACCCATCCTTGTCTTGCAGCCTCTAAAATGTATCATCAAGCACCCCAACGGGACCCAGGAGACCATCCTCCTGAACCACACCTTCAACGAGACTCAGATTGAATGGTTCCGTGCGGGCAGTGCCCTCAACAGGATGAAGGAGCTGCAGCATTAAGGAAGGCCCAGGCTGTCCTGTTCCACTCTGGACCCTGCTGGGCATCAAAAGTATAGGTCCATGAGAGCCAGAGCTGGGCTGCTCTCCCCTCCTCAGCCTACCAAGTGACCCACTGTGGGGGCACTCAGGATTTGTCCCAGCCCCTGCCTCCCTGTTGAGTTTTGTCCATCCCTGAGCAACCCATGCAACTGTATTTATTTTTGATGACAGCACTCCCTCTACAGAAAGAAGTTTTTATTCTGCCTGATCATTTCACTGGTGGCTGAAGGATTTTAGAGAAACTTTTGTTCTGATGAGAAAAAAAGATCTAAATCTGTTGACTGTTCTGTGAGAGTGGTTGGTGTCTATCAGTTTCATCTCACCTTTTTAGATTAAGGTCAGCAAAGGCTTCATCAGGCCTTGGTCGTATCTGGACCCTGGTCACTGCAGCAAAGACAGGAGTGATAACAGAACACTATTCCATGCCCTCCTGCCCTGACCGTGTACCTTCAGTAGACTAGAACTTCAGAGCAGGACCTGCCTCCTGCTGTGTCCCCGAGGATGATGTGCTAGACCTGCTCAATCTTTAACTACCAGAGAATGTGCAGTGCCTATCTTAATTCCAGCACTTGGGGGGGCAGGTAGATCAGGTCCAGTGGACTACAGAGCGGCTTGAAGAGGAATCGACCCCAGGCCACAGCTCATAAGCGTGTGCTGCATGCTGCCCTGGCCTCTGTAGCAGAAGGCTGGGACAAGATAGGCTCCTGTTGATACGCAGCCTCAGCTAACACTACTTGGTCCTCTCACATGGAAAGGCCTAGACAGGCCATGGAGGTTTGTCACAGAACAGTATTTATCACACAAATATTTCAGTACCAGGAGGAGAAAGGCCATCAGGACTGGGCAGTCGTTTGTGAGACCCAGGGCATCACTAGCCCCACAGAGCGCTTGTGGTCACAGCTGGGGCAGTGGTAACCCCTGGCTTCCTTTGAGGCAGACCCTGGCACAGCAGACAGGGCTGGTTTGGGAGGTTACTCCTAGAGGCTGGGGAAAGATGGCTGCAGCTTGGTGCTCCACCTGCATCACTAACTAGTAGCACCAGCCCAAACACCTGCTCCAGAATGGCCTCTACCTTCAACACAGTGCCACTAAGCTAGCTAGAAATACCGAAGTCCACTGTTTATGGGCCTTGTCAGGCAGGACATGCTGTCCCAGGTTGGCAATTCCATGACCTTGGACCATGATAAACTATTAAATGGGGTGGGGTTTCTTGCCACCAACACCATTGTTTATTAACTGTTTCTGCTGTCTCTGAAAACCGGAAGTTCACAGGGATAGAAAGGGCCTAGGCTCAGTAGTGTAAGACCTGTCTAACATGAGTCAAGAGGCCCTGGGTTCCATCCACAGCACTTTAGAAATTTAAAATGTCCTACGCTAAGGAAGTAGCTTAGTTGGTAGAGTACCTGCCCAGTGTGCACAAAGCCCTGGGCTCCGTCCCCACTACCACACCGACCCAACGTGCTGCACACCTGCAGTCCCAGCAGTCCGGAGGTAGAAGCTCAAGGCTGTTCTATGCTATACAGCAAGTGAGAGCCAGCCTGGACACATGAGACTGTCTCAAAAACAATCCAGCGGAGAGGACTTTGGGGCCGGCTCCAGGAGGCAGAGCAGGGCTGGGGAGGTAGGGGACACGCTGATGGCACTCCACAGAACTTGCCGACTACCCTCCATTCCACAGGTCTAGGCAGTCACTGTACACTTGAAAGCTAGTTGCTGGTCCACCAGGAGAGAAGGCCCAGGCCTGGTTCACTGATCGATCCCTGCCAAAGACAGAAAACTCATCACCACCTAGCTGGGCTGCCTGGGACAGGAGGGACTAGTGATCCACCACATTCCACACCTAGCAAGCCCAACAGGCAAAGGGGAGGTCGGGGCTCACAACAGTCCAGAGGCTACAGAGACTGGGAGCCATGCCACCACGCCTGCCCCCTCTCTCCAGTTTCTTAGGAAAGCGCTAGTTTGCTGGCCTCAAGTGGGATCTTTCCTCAACCCCAGACCTGTCCTTCCTGAGTTCCCAAAGTTGTGTGGAGGGAGGAGCCGGCAAACCACTCCTGTGGTGCCCTGCTCTCGCTCCAACTTTGACCTCTCTAGCCCCTCCCAGGTTTCCTCTCCTTCCTTAAAAGATGAGATGATAACAATCACAGGAGACCTGACCTGCTAAGTAAGGAGGGGGTTCTGGGAGTGGAACCTCAAGAAAGCAGCCTCCCACCAGCTTACCACAAGCGTGTACGGCGCTTCCTTCTTTGGCAGCTCCTCACTGGAAGAGGCAGTCTCTGCTGAGCTGGGTCCTGTGGGGGACGTGTCCACAAAGCTCTCATCCACCACCCTGAAGCGGATCTCCTCGCCAGTGTCCATGTAAAGGTCATGTGCTCCTTCCTCGGTCTCATACTCCCACACCCAGACTTGTTCCGTCTCATCACTGGGACCAGGGTCAGGGCCACAATCATGCCACGGAGTGCAGAAGGCTAAGGGTCCACTCAAGTACTTACCCACGTTAGACCCCACCCCAGGTGAGACTGTTGGCTGGGAAGTCATAGGAAAGCTGCTTCTGCCCCTTGGAGAGGGTAGAGTTTGCTAGTGAGAACTACACCTCTAGAAATGAATATCCAGGTACCCCAAATTCTCAGTAATGCCTCAGCACTAATTTGACAGGCACAGGGATCATGTGTTTGCCCAGGTCTCAAGATGAGGTAGGTTTGAATGGCACCTGCCTGAGGAGGAACAATAAGGCTAAGCCAGATTTGCTGACAATTCCAGAGTCTCTGGCACAGGCCAGGGTGAGAGCAGAGCCTGAGCGCCTGCTCGGCTCTTCCCCACAGCCTGCAGGGCCATACCGCCCTCTAGTGGCACACTGCGTTCTCCATGTCATGCTACTGCGGGAGCTGTGACTACAGTTATGCCATGTCACCTGAGCCACTCCTGACACGGGTGACAGTCCCATTAAAACAAACAGCCCCTGAGCTGGGGTGAGGACAAAGGGCTCCACACTCCAGACAGGCTCTGAACAGCAGCCCCACAGCCTGGGAAAACGAGGCAGCCAGCTAAGGTGACACTCCTGAGGGACAGAGCTCTGAAATGACTCCTGCAGGAACAACTTGAGTGAAGTGACCAGGAGTGACTAAGCCCCAAAGGAGTACAGTGCTCGATTCTATCACCCAGCCTGACAAAACGTGGGCACACGGACACCAGGGTCAGGGCAGGACGCAGAGGTGGCCTGGTGCTCCACCCCAGCACTGCCAGCAGCAGCAGCTCGCAGAGCCCTCAGGGTTACCACAGGAATGGGCTGTCCGCTTGGCCCACGTCGTGCTTGAAAGGATACAACTTGGCAGGCTGCTGCAGGGACTCGGGGGGGATGAGAATGTCATCGAAGAACCCTAAAGAGACTGGAAGAAATGAAAAACATGATGGCATGGGACAAGGGACTTCAAAGGGACATCCCAGCAGCATTATAGGCAAGCCCCTTTCCCAGGGCAATCTGCCCCCTTCTGCTCCACATCTCTGTCTGTACTACGTCCATGGGCTGAGCTGCTGTGGACAGAGCTCCAAGTACACAGTCCCCAGTCACCGCACATAAGAGGGCACACGGGCACTGTGGGCCGGTCACCTGGCCCAGCTCAGCACCCATCCTCAAATCTTAAGCTGTGGCCTTAGAGTGAAACCTGACAGCTGAATGAGGCCCTCCCCCATCCACGGAAGCATGAGGAGGTGAGGCACCCGGCTCGGTGCTGCAGCTGGGCAGCTTCTCTGATGCCACAGGGAAGATTCGGCTAGATTCCGGGACCACATGGTCAGCATACACTGCCCACCCCACTGTGTTCCAGCCTCACCCCGGAAGTCAGGGCACCTTACCCTGCACACCCTCTGGACTGCAGCCTTTGATCTTCCCGATGAGAATCTCATCCAGGAAAGGGTGGAACACCACATAGCGGAAATGGACTAGAAAAGAAGGCAACACTGCTGTCATTCACACCAGGCCCTCCGTGACGGCATGGAGCCTGGGGCTGCTCATGTCCGCCAATGGCCACCTCACTGCCAGCACACTTACCCGGTGGTCTGTGTGGAGTCCTCCTGCAGGCCTAGACCTGTCTGCTGAGCCAGAGAACCAACCTTCCCTCACTTATGCAAGGTCACAGCTTGGTCCCCATAAGGGACCAGCATCAGCCACTGCCCTGGAACTGAGGCCGGCTTCCAAATCCATCTGTTATATCTGGGCCATGAGTGACTCCAAGGTCAATTCCAAACTCCCTTCAGGCTCTCCTTCACATTCCAGAAGGGCAGAAGCAACTGGTCAGGTTTAGAAGGAAGTTCCTGTCTCCTGATGCCTGGGCATGCTTACCCTGGGCACAGACCATGCCAAGGCTGCCTGTGGTGAGGGTGACGTGGGGAAAGCCTTCATGGGTTCTCAGGCCTCCTCCTCTGTGCTTCCCTCTCACCTGAACTCAAGGAAAAGGCCGGCTAAGGCAGTCACCAGACACTGGCCCTCTCAAGCGGAAAGGTGCTCTCTGCCATTAGCCACCGGCATGTATGAGCCTCCTGTGCCAGGTGCCCTGTTTCCACCACACAGAGGAAGAGGTGGCTCTGAGAGGCTGTGACCTGCTCCAACCATACAGCCCTCCTGCCCATTCTGCCATGGGAAGCCTCTAAGGCAGAGGTCCTCAACCTTTAATACAGTTCCTCATTTGTGTGACCCCCAATCTAAAATTATTTCCTTGCTACTTCCTAACTGTAATTTTGTTACTGTTACAAATCCTAAGAATCCAAATAACGGATATGTGACCCCAAGGGCTTGTGACCCACAGGCTGAGAACCACTGCTCTAAGTCCCCACCGTCCCGACAAGGCCCCCAGGTTGAAAGCGCCTCCCTCAGACATTAGCACAGGCTTCCACCAGGACTCCTTCAGAGGCCTAGGCCTGCTGGCCGGCACCCATCCTAAAACATCAGGGCTTACCATGCCCAGCTCTATCCACCTGCCTTCCTGTACCATAGGCCCTGTGAGGCAACCAACATCCTGAAAATGGCTGAGGCTTCCGCTAACTTTCCGGAATCCAGCTACGAGCAGCCATGAGCCACTTACATACAGGATGCAAAAACCCTGGCCTCCATGTGACCTAGCGTTCAAATCAAAGCTTCTGCCGGGCTTGTGATAGGCTTATGCCACACTTAGTTTGGCACAAGGCTTACTGAACAGGACAGCTTGTGAATCAGTGCCCAGAGCCTGAACACATTATCTGAAAGCCCATGCCCACTGACTACTGAATGAACAATGCTCAGGTAGGGCATATACATAAAAAAACGGTAGTCAGCCTCAGAAAGGAAGGCTGGAGCTGGACATGAGGGTGCATACCTTTCAGACTACAACCCTGGAAGCAGATCTCCATGAGGTCAAGGCCAGCCTGGTCTACACAGTGAGTTACAGGACACCCAAGGCTGCACAAAAGAGACCCTGTCTCAAAAAACAACAAAAGGCTAGAGACGCGGCACAGTGGTAGAGCACCTATGTGGCATGAGGCTCTAGGACTGTACTCCATTCCTCCCCGTGCCCCCCACCAGGGGTGGGAGTACATATTGTTTGCTCTTAGTTAAATGTTTTCTTAGTTAAAATGTTTTCCGGGATGCTTAGTCCGCAGACCTTGGACTGCACTGAATTTCTGTGAAAAGGACAAAATTCCCGATTCCGGTCACTTGAGGCACTGAAGTGGTTCCGTTCTCCAAGTCAGAAAGCAGAACAGGGCCAGCAAAATGGCTCAGTGGATACAGGGGCTTGCCACCAACTCTGACCACTTGAATTTGAGCACTGGGACCCAAATGGTAAAAAAGGAGAGCACAGACTCTAGCACGCTGTCCTTCTGGCCTCAACCTACACACAGCAGAGAAGGAATCAGCTCAAGGCCTGATGCCGCATGGCCCTCAAGGATCATGCTGGGAGTGGTGATCCCACTGTGAGACAGTGGTCAGAGCCAGAATTCAAACTCGGGTCTGTGGGATGTACCTAACCCAGTGCCTCTCCCGAAATGAAACAAGAGGGTACAGGGTGAGCAGGGTGTGGGACAATAAAGCCCAATCCTGGAGACTGAGGGCAAGCATCACCAATGTAAGGGGCAGCACTTCCTTCAAGCCGACTTGTTGCTGGTCGTCCTGAAGTTCGGGTACCTATTAACACTCACTTCTTGAACAACAGGCTCTCATCCAAGTACAGAGCCTGGCTCAGATTGGCACCCCTCTCTGAGAACACAGCTCCTCGGAGCCGTTTCCACACTCTGGGCAAGGACAGCCTGTCGGCTGTCCTCACACACTCCACGATGCTCACTCAGCCGTCCCTTGGCTGAGAGGATGACCAACACCGGCAAAGACAAGCTTCCCCCACCGTGACCCGTGTCTGTCACAGGGCACGTGCACTGTAACACTCTGCCCCACTTCCGGGCTGGTACTGCGAGCCCTGGGCAGCGGAGAGTGCACACGGCCACATAGTGCCAGGAGGCAAGGCGGCTGAGCTCCTGCCAGCCATCCTCCTGATGGCTCCGGGCAAGCAGGACTAAGGAATGCCCTACACCCTCAGGGTGGCCCCTAAGCTGACCTGTCGGGGAGCCCTGGATACCAATCCTTCCCACCACCCTTTCAGCCCTGGGTGCACACACCTTCCAGGTTTACTGCACTTTCCCTCACCAAGGAGCAGACTCTCCATCCCTCAGTCTCCCTTAGTCTCCCGCCTTGTGACCTCTTTTGGTCCATGGCATCTAGGCTGAAGACATACTTCAGACCTTTGAAACCACTGTGCCAGACATTCCAGCCCTGGCCAAGCCTGCCCAAAAGAGCACTACCCAAGTAACCCAGAGAAACAAGCAATCTTCACACCCCCTCAGTGCCAAGGTCCCGTCGTGAGCTCCACTGTATTAGTTCCTTAGCTTCCTGGCAGGCCTCCAGTAGAGAATCTACTGCCGATGTTTATTTCTGTTTTTCAAGAAAGGGTTTCCGTGGATAGCCCTGGCTGTCCTGGAGTCGAGGCTGGCCTTGAACTCACAGAGATCCACCTGCCTCTGCCTCTGGAGTGCTGGGATTAAAGGTGCACTGCACCACTGCCCTGCTTATACTGCCACTGTTAGACAGCCCAGGCCGGCCTGGAACTCCTGATCCTCGGGGTTTCCACCTCCCAAGCGTTGGGATTGCAGGCATGTATCACCATCCCTGCTCAGAGGCTGTGTGTGCGTGTGTGTGCCTGGCACACTCATACACCATAATGTGGAGGCAGAAGAAATGTCTATGTAGTCGGTTCTCTCCTTCCATCTTTCAGCGGGTTCTGGGTAGCAGACTCAGGCCTCTAGATTGTACAGCAAGCACATTATTTACCCATGAGCCACTCGCTGGCCCCACGAGACACTTTTATTTTGGGGTGTTTTGTTTTTTTGAGACAGGGTTTTTCTGTGTAACCATGCTGTCCTGGACTCACTTTGTAGATCAGGCTGGCCTTGAACTCACAGCTATACACTTGCCTCCCAGAGCGCTGGGATTAAGGGCGTGTGCCACCATGCCTGGCTCAGAGGACACTTTTAATTGCTGTGTCCTACTGCCCCTCCAGGTCCTGAGACCCAATAGTTTGTCCTTCTGCCTTCTGCTGTCCACCCAGTAACAGCCACCACTCAGGGTCCTTGCCTAGAAGGCTGTCTCACCACTTATCTATAACGCAACGAGCAGCATGAGGGCTGGGCAGATAGTAGGGGGCACTAAAGGAACCCAAGGGACCCACAGATTAAACCACAATTTAAATCTCAAAACTGGAGACTGGAGAGATGGCTTGGAGGTTAAAAGCACTGGCTGTTCTTTCTAAGGTCCTGAGTTCAATTCCCAGCAACCACATGGTGGCTCACAACCACCTATAATGAGATCTGGTGCCCCTTCTGGCCTGCAGCCATACATGCAAGCAGAATACTGTATAAATAACAACTACATAAAATCTTCAAAAATAAATCTCAAAACTGTAGTAATCTTGAGAATCACCATCCACACTGCTGTCCTACAGGTAAAGAAACTGAGGCCCAGAAAGGACATGAGTGCCTACGGTCCCCCTGAAGTCAGTTCCTAGCAGAATCAGGACTGGGGCCCAGGCCTCCTGCCACCCCAAGAGGCATGGCAGCTTGATCTTTTGCTACAGAAAATAAGACCCAAAAAATACGGCACCCTAGGAAGGGGAGGCACCCACCTTTGGTGTGCGATGCTCCGTCCCCAGGAAATACATAGGCGTCCTCCAGCTTGGTGATGTCAAACAGGCAGACGCAGAGTCCCACGTTGAACACCACCTGTGCACACATACAGTGACCCTGGGGCCCAGCTCCTCCAAAACCCTCGTTTGAGGGTTTGAACTAAGACCCTGCGGGAGGTGACAGCAGCGGAGACCTCAGGATGCAGAACTCTGCACAATGCAGAGCCTGAGGGACAGGCCAGCTCCTCACTGTGGGACCTCCAAGAACACTACCCCGCCTGAGCCTCAGTTTTCCACGTTCAAAACCGAGATAACAGCTAGAGTGTTAAGTGAGTAGAATGGACACATCCTGGTGGCAGGGCCACCGCACCCCCCACGACCCGAGTTTACTGTCACCACTGTGGAATCCCTGCTTAAACCTATACTTTCCAATGTCCCAAAGTCTGTGCTCCAGATCACAGCCAGTGAGTGTGAGGACCTCCCGCCACTCTCACACCGCCTGACACAGAGTCAGGGCTCGCACGGGGATATGTGGCCAAAGCCCATCAGTAGAGCAGAACCCCTGACGGCCCACGCTTCAGTGTTCCAAATGATTGGCTCAGTGTCTGCAGACCCGGGCACTAGAGAGACATCAGGGCACTTCAGAGTTAGGGCAGAGGTCTGCAGTGGTCCGCCTGTTCATGCCAGGCATGGCGACCCTGGCCTGTAATGCCTGCTCCTGAGAGGCAGGGACAGGAGCATCACAAGTCCAAAGCCATCTGCGCTCACACAGTGAATGTAAAGTCAGCTCCGGTCTCAAAAACAGGGAGGGGGTGGTGCTGGCAAAATGGCTCCGCAGTCAAGGTGCCTGCCGCCAATCCTGACAACTTAAGCTGGGTCCCAGGTCACACACTGTACAGACAGAGAATCGCCTCCCTACAAGTTGTCCTGACCTACACTTATGTGCTGTGGTATGTATACCCATGCAAAATAAATCCATGTAATTAAAAAAGCAGCAGCCCTGGATGTGGGGGCTGTGGTGGTTTGAATAGGAATGGCCTCGGAATGCTTAGACATGGGGGGGCCTATCTGAGACCATTAGAAGGATTAGGAGGTGTGGCCTTGTTGTGGGCGGGTCTTAAGGTTTCAAAAGCCCACAGCAGGCCAGTGTCACTCTCTTGGCGGTGCAGAACTCAGCTCTCAGCTACTGCTCCAGCACCGTGTGTACCAGCATGCTTCGAGCTAACCCTCTCCAACTGTGAACAAGCCTGGTGACCCACGCCGGTAATCCCAGCGCTCTGGGAGGTGGAGGCAGGTGGATTTCTGAGAGTTCGAGGCCAGCCTGGCCTACAGGACAGCTGGACTGTTCAAGGCTGTTCAGAGAAACCTATTTCAAAAAAATAACCATAAAAAAAAATCTTTCTCTTATGAGACTTGCCTTGGTCATGGTATTTCTTTACAGCAATGGAACAATGGCACATACCTTTAATCTTAGCACCTGGGTTGCAGAGGCAGACAGTTTTTTGTGAATCCAAGGCCAACCTAGTCTATGTAGCAAGTTCCAGGCCAGCCAAGACTACATAGTGAGATTCTGTCTCACAAATGAAAAATAAGCCGGGCAGTGGTGGTGCACACTTTTAATCCCACTACTTGGGAGGCAGAGGCAGGCAGATGTCTGTGAGTTCATGGCCAGCCTGGTCTACAGAGTGAGCTCCAGGACAGCCAAGGCTACACAGAGAAACCCTGTCTTAAAAAACAAATAAATAAAAATTAAAAGCCACTAATTAATTAAAGATGTCAGTGAATTCTCTCCTCCAGCTGACAAGCCTCAGCTGTGTGTGTCTAGCTCCTCGGGCCTCAGTCTCTTTGAAGGGCCCACCTGTCTCCTCTATAAACAGTCTTGCTGTTCCTGCCCTGCTCTCTACTGGGCTTCTCCTCACCATCAGATCTCGGTGCACGTGGCTTTTCTTTCCCTCAAAAAGCCTCCAGTCTCTCATCCCAGGTGGTGCTCCTTTGTTGAACAGCTGTGTGCATGTCTGTCCTTCCTGGCACTCATCATAATACACTCAGCAGGTTTTTTTTTTTTCCTTCTCACTACAGTACAGGGGCAGAGCCTGCATCCACTCTGCCACACTCTCGCTAAGTGTTGGGGAGAGTCAAAGGACTAAGTCAGAGAAGGCCTCTGTACTTGCTGAAGGGGAAATACAGTAACCGAATACAAGAATGGGGCCAATGAGTGGGCTCAGCTGCCAAAGCTACATACCTCAAAACCTGACAGCTGAGTTCAATTCCAGAGACCCACAGGGTGGGAGGCAGTAGAAGGACCCACACGCTGTTCTCTGACCTCTACTCAGGCTCTGTGGCCACACAGGTATACACAAACAAACAAGAAAGCAACTGTGGTTACGTGTTTAAAAAAGAGAGAACCACGAAGAAGGATAACCAAGCAGTCACCAGAGCAGAGAGGAAGGCCTCTCCAGCTGGCCCTGGGGCAGCCGGCATGCACCACAGCAGGTGTGCAAAACATTGTTTTGAGAACGAACAGACACATTCCAGCCTCATGATGCACACTTGAGAGAAAAACAATTTATCCCTGTTTTACAAATGAAACCGAGTCCCAGAGAGGGCGACTTGGCAGACTGTACAGTAACCGAATGTGGAGAATGACATTTTTGCAGTTTCTCTTTTACAAAACCATTTTGTGCACCCTCTCTCCATTTTGTTTTCTGGCAATACTGAGAACCAAACCAATGGTCCCGCAAATGTCAAGCAATTTTAAACACAGATTAACAGCCGGACGCTTTTTTCGGGCGTGGGGAGGGGGAGGTTCTGAGACAGGGTGTCTGTTTAGCCCTGGCTGGCCTGGAACTCAGATCTGCCTGCCTCTGCCTCTCGAGTGCTGGGATTAAAGGCGTGCGCCACCACCGCTGGCTTCAGCGCTTTTTAATTTGTTCTAGACAGGGTACTATGTCGCCCACGCTAGCCTCGAACTCGGGATCATCACAAGCCTCAACAACCCAAGAAGCTGGGATTACAGGTGTGCACTACTTGGCCTGGCCCATTTACTCCCTTGAGTAAACCCTGACATCCCAGTCTGGTTCAGAAGTACGCGGAGGAAAAGAGAGCCTGACAGAGTTACTTAAGTGTGCAAGGCCAAGCTAGGGCTGAGCCAGCGACGGCCAGGCTAGCGGTGGGGCGGTCCGGACACTGCCCGCCAGCCCGAGGGTCCAGTACCTTGTTGGCCAATTTCTTGTTCAGCTCCTCGGCAATGGAGTCGTTGAGCTTCCGCTCAAACTGCCACGGGGGTATGCGCACGGTGTCCACCATCTCCACCAGGACGAACATCCTGAGCTGGAGCTCTGGGAACCGGAGAGCCGGTCACGCACGGGGGCCGGGAGCGGTGGAGGGTCCCCGAGCCGCCTCGGTCCCCTCGCAGCCTGACAAGCCAGACCGGCAGCGGGGCCAGGCGGGAGGGCCTGGGGTGCCGCTGGTGGGCGCCACGCTCCCTCCAGACCCCTAAGAACCCGACCCGCCTCGCCCGGCTCCGTCCCCACCACGCGCGGAAGCCACGCGCCGCTCACGCCGAGCCCGGCGGCCCCGAGGTCGCGGCGCAGCGCTCCCGAAACCAAATCACTCAGCTTCCGGGGAACTAACCAATAAGAAGCCTCTGCCCGCCCCGGCGAGGGCGGGGCCAGAGAGTGGGCGGGGTCGGCCGCAGACTCCGCCTCCTGAGGGCGGAGGGGCGGGGCAGAGCGCTGAGAGGGCGGGCCTCTCCTTCAAGCAAGCCAACCTCGGACGCCTTTGCGAGCTCTGGTTGCTAGGCGACCAGTCTGCGCCCCGGGTCTGGTTGTCTCTCCTTTGCGCCTCAGCCGGGGAGATCCTTTGAAAACCTTCTATCCTCCAGACTGGTACCTAAGAGAGTGGGCACGGAAGGGTCACCGGGCCTTTAAAGGTGTCAGGAATGTTAAGTGGAGCAAACACTGATGAACGTATTCAGCAAAACTCAGCACACCCGGTGCTTAAGCGCCTGAACGCCAACGAAGATCCTCCTGCTTGTAATGCCAGCACTAGGGAGGTGAAGGCTGGATAATCACTGCAAGTTCAAGGCCAGCCTGAGTTACAAAAATGAGACCCAGTGTCGGCACCCCCCACAAAAGTACTAAAAATAGCTTGGGAGAGCCGGAAATGGCGACCAACACACCTGTGATCCCAGCACGCGGGAGGAAAGACGGAGAAATGGGGAACCCAGCTTAGCTATGCCAACGCCAGCCTCCAACTTTGGATTCGATCCTCCCTCCAACTCCGCCTTCTACATAATTAGGATCACGCACATGTAAGAACAAGCTCAAACTACTTAAAAAAAAAAAGATTTATTTATCTATTACTGATACAGCATTCTGCCTCCATGTGTGCCTGTGCACCGGAAGAGGGCACCAGATCTCTCTCTAGATGGTTGTGAGCCACCATGCGGTTGCTGCGGATTGAACTCAGGACTTTTGGGAAGAACAGACAGTGCTCTGAACCTCTGGGCCATCTCTCCAGCCCTCAAACTACTTTTGCAACATCTGTCTCTTTAGTTTTTAAATTGCACTTGTGTGTGGACACACGCACGCCGTGGTGCAGATGTGGAGGTCAAAGGACAATTTACAGGGTAGATTTTTCTCCTTCCATCATGCGCAGCTTTGATGCAAGGATTGAACGCAAGTCCTCAAGCCTGAGACGTTGACAAGTGCTTTCACCTTCTGACTCATCCAACCGACCCTGTCAAATCTGTAATATCTTTTAAAATTGCACCTTTATTTTTTTTTAATTTTGCATGTGCGCATGCGCCTTGGCTTAAAATAGGGATCTGGCACACTAGCCTGGTAGACAGTGGATCTGAAGGGGGCGGGAAGGCTAGAAAGGAGGAGAAGGAGCAGGCTGGCAGCAGGAGACAGCAAAGTTGGTCAGAGTGAGGAGGTCTTGGGCACTGAGGAGATGGACAGCCTAGCCTCAGGGACAGAAATGGGCAAAACCAAAGCCTGAGGCCTTCCGCTGTTAGTGGGGTGGGAAGATGGAAGCGGGGGAGAAGGGGAGGCCGGCGGGCTGTGGAGCCCAGGGTTTCAGAGCGCTGTCCTCTTTTGTGGTCCTCCGCTCCACAATTTGTTGGCACAAAGTTTTGTTTTATGCAGTGGTAAAAAAAAAAAAAGAAAAAAAAAAATCCGGTCTCTTTACACATTCTCTGCCTTGTTCCGTGGAAGACTGAGGTGGTTTACAAAGTACACAAGCAACTCAGTCTACAAGCTCGCCGGCAGCAGAGGACCATTGTACGGCTTCTGTCTACACATCCGGGCCCAGACCAGTGCCTGGCACATGGCCAGGGCTTGAGAATATGGCTTATTTGAATGAACAAAAGGGCAGCGGAATTGTGATTGCCAAGAGTGAAAGAGCGAAGCGGGAAAGGGGCTGGGAACCAGTCAGGGCCTGAGGAGAGTCAAGTGGGGCGGTGCAGGGCATGGCGCTCCCACGCCACAGCACAGGAATCAGACACTGGTGGCCATGGCAGTGAAGTCCGCGGTGCCCACACTGCTCTGCAAAACAGCGCTAATGACAGAACTGATTTCAAAGGAGTCTGCAGCTGAGCGAGCTGGGGCACCCCTCTAACCCCAGCACGGAGGAGAATGAGCCCGGACATCAAAAGTTCAAGGCCAGATCTGACTACATGAGACCCTAGGTTTTTTTGGTTTTGTTTTTGTTTTTGTTTTTTTTGGTTTTTTTTTTTTTTTGTGTGTGTGTGTGTGTGTGTGTGCTTTGTGTTTTTTTGTTGCTGTTGTTTTTAGTTTAGTTTTGTTCTGTGACAGGGGTTCTCTGTGACACATTGGCTGTCCTGGACTACGCTTTGTAGATCAAGCTGGCTTTGAACTCACAGAAATCTATCTGCCTCTGCCTCCCCGAAGGCTAGGATTAGCGGCGTGCGCCGTCACGACCAGCAAGACCCTAGTTTTCAAAAGAAAAACATCAGGCCTGGAGAGACAGCTCAGAAGTTAAGAGCGCTGGCTGCTCTTCATAGAGGACCTGGGTTCAAATCCCAGCACCCACATGGCAGCTCACAACTGTCTGCAATTACAGATCCACCCTCACACAGACAGACAGACAGACAGACATGCAGAGAAAACACCAATGTGCATTAAATGTACATAAGAATAAAGAGATAGGTCATTTAAAAAAAAAAACAAATAAAGAAAACATCCTTGGGGAAAAGAAAAGACATCTAGTATATCTTTTAACAGAAAAATGTAAAGCTGCAGAAAAGAATGATGACGGGTTACCGGGGAATGACTTTTGAGTTTTATTGTTTTTAATCTAAAAATGCAGAAATTGTAATGGAGCATGCCTATAGTCTCAGCCACTCTGGGGCCTGACTGAGGAGGCTGGCTTGTGACTAGGAGTTCAAAGCCCGCTGAGGAAATACAGGCAGGCATGACTGTATGAAAAGAAAAGGCTGGTCGAGGTGGCGCACACCTTTGATCCCAGCACTTGGGAGGCAGAGGCAAGTGGATCTCTGAAAGTCAGGGGCAAGTCTACACAATGAGTTCCAAGAGATGTAAGGCTACATAGAGAGCCTGTCAAAAAACAAAAAAGCCATCTATGAAGTGGTATTTATAATGCCTGCACTTAGAACACAGCGGTCTGAGGGTCCGGCATTCCAAGTCATCCCCTGCTCAAACCTCAGGTGGTTCTAATAACCTTTTGAAACAAAGGCAGGGTAGCAAGATGGTCATAACGATACTTTGGAACAAAGTATGGGGTAGGGAGAGGAAAGGCAAGGCAGGGGACAGGGACTTAGAGGAGAGGAGGGAGAGGGAACTACAGTCGGGATCTAAAGTAAATAAATAAATAAATACATTTAAAGAAGAAACAAAGACATGGCTGCCATTTTTGGCACAGCTAGCACAGAACCATTTGTAGCTAAGGTTACAGTTGGGGCATGGCCCAATCCTTGAGAGACAGAGGTTTAATCATAAATAGGAAGGAACCTACTTTGTCTTTACTGTAAGATTGCTTTCAAGCCTAAGATGGAGGCAGGTTGATTCATCACCAGCACAAGCAATATAAAAAAACTCTCATCTTCCTGTCTAGACCTTGCAGTGATGCATCTCTCTTGGGGAGGAGCCAGGCCGAGGCCCCTCTCAACTCCCATCTTAAATCACAAGCCACCCATCAGCCTCACTCCCTATCCCACTTCCTGCTTACCAGTTCTTTGGGATGTTTATTACCTTCTGGCATGACAGCGCGTGGTTATTAGGTTGTTTTATTGCCATCTCCATGAAGATAGAGAGTTCCTGCTTCCCTGACTGGATTCCCCAGTGCCTAGAAAAGAGCCAGGTCAGGAGAGCGTACCATCCTGAGGGCCTGAGAGCAATCCCCAAGATCCACATGCTGAAAGGAAAGAACCAGCAGTGCAGCAGCAGCATATGGTATTCCCAGCACTCCAGAGGCAGGGGCACAGGCAGGTGGATCTCTGAGTTCGAGGCTAGCCTGGTCTTCAGAGCGAGTTCCAGGACAGCCAGGGCTACACAGAGAAATCCAGTCTAGATAGATAGATAGATAGATAGATAGATAGATAGATAGATAGATAGATAGAACCGACTCTCCAAATCTGCCCTCTGACCTCCTGGTACAAGCCGTGCAGAGCATGCAGACACATAAATAGATAAAATACTTTTTATTTTTCTAAGTGCTGAAAGAGATCTGGTTTGACAGAATAGTACTTAGATTAGTGAGAGGATCAGCTGGGGATGAGGGAGTAGAAAGAAAGATCATCCTAATTTACAGGGCAAAAACGGTAGTGCAGGTATAGAGGGGTTCCATGGCAGAGGAGACAGGCGCCCAGGGAAAGAGAAGCCACTTCGAATGCACCGTGGCATAGCAGAAAGAACAAGAATGTAATGGAGGGAAACGTGCTTTCCACCTCCTCCAAGCTAAAGAATGAGCACACAGCCCGGCTGCGCTCTGCCCAGGTGCTAGATTGATGGGCGTACACCATCATGCCTTTTGAACCCTGCATTTTGTTTTGTTTTGTTTGCTTGTTTTTCAAGGCAGGGTTTTTCTGTGTGGCCTTGGCTGTCCTGGACTTGCTTTGCAGACCAGGCTAGCCTCAAACTCACAGCCATCTGCCTGTCTCTGCCTCCCAGAGCGCTGGGATTACAGGCATGCACCACCACACCCGGCTTGAACCCTGGATTTGAATACCAGCTCCAGTATCAGCTATGTGATGCTGCTCGAGTTTCTTGTTTTGTTTTCCTTTGAAGCAGAGTCTCATTGTGTAGGGCACACAGGCCCAGAGCTCACTGTGTAGAGCATTCTCGCCTCAAACTCTAGGCAATCCTCCTGCCTCGTTGAGTGTGGGATTACAGGTAGGAGCCAGTGGATAAGTTTCTTAACCTCTCCTTGCCTAAACTTCATCTCTGTTGGGTATACGGACACCACAGGGATGTGTGTGCACTGAAGTAATGAAGTCGGTGGATGCCACCCAGGTCCAGGCCTAGTGCCATGGGTTGGTTACAGTGGATTACAGGAGTGAGGTGTAATTGAGAGGGCTGTGACGCTATTTGGCTCTCCCCAGCCCTCTCTCTGCTTCTCTGCAGTGAGAAAG